TCGCCCCGCGCCTCACGCCCTCCCACCACCTCCTCGCGCGTAGAGCCCCGCTCACCTCCTTCACCGAGAGAAACTCCAGCAGCGGAAAGACCAGATGCCGATCCAGAAAGTGCGCGATGCGAGTAGTCAAGTCGTACTCCGCCATCTTGCCAAGGAAAAGGAGAGCCTCCGCTCACTAAAACTTTATTGGTAGCGCCGACAAACGAACAGACAGGTCCGGTAGCGCGCATGCGCCGTGGTGAAACCGGCCCCGGCTAAGGGGCGGGGCTCAGTCCCCGGCGCGGGGAGAGCCATCGCGCAGGCGCGGCGCTTCCCAGGCTCTGGGCTGCTCCGGGACCCGGCGGCGCGGCGGGCGCGTTTCCTCTGTTGGAAAGTCTGTCCTGCCACCCGCTCCGCAAACAAATAGCGAAGACGCGGCATGGACGGCTGGGGCACCGCAGGGTGCGTTGTCACGCGGGCAGAGGACACGACGAGGCCCGTGCTCTCCAGAAAGTACTTGCGAGGGGGAACCTGAGCTTTAATTTCGCAGACAGTAATCGCCTTGTAAGCGTTTGTTAAGTCGTTTTTAGATAGGAAACAAGATAATTTCAGATTACAGGCAGAGCCATAACTTAGTGGGGATGCGCGGGCTGGGCCGTTTTAATGAGGGTAGTTAAGAGAAAACTGGGATAGGGTAACAATTTACCTACGAGGAGGTGACCACGATTCGGGCCTGGGTGGGAACGTGCCCTGCGGGAGGCGCAGCGGAAACCAAGGCCCTGAGGCAGGAAAGGACTTGGTGTGTTTCAGAAACGGAACGTCCCGTGCGACTGAAGAGGGCGGTTCAGGGTGGTGAGAAGGGGGTGTGGGGGAGGCAGCTAAACAGTGTTTCCCTCTCATCAATGTTTCTCTCTCTCTCCCTCTCCTCTCTCTCTAAAAATCAACAGACTACTCTTTAAAAAAAAGCCAAAGTCAAATTATGCCCCAAACCCTCCAAGCCTTGTTACCTCACTCAGAGTAAAAGATATGTCTAATAGTGGCCTAAAAAGCCCTAGTTCACCTGGACCCATCATCACCTCTCACCCTCCCCACCTCTTCCTCTTGTGCACTTTCCCCAAGCCCTAAGCAACCGCTCATCTACCTTCTGTCTCAGTAGATTTTCCTATTCAGGATTTTCGTGTGAATGGAATCATATAATATGTGGCCTTCTGTGTCTAATTTTTTTTTTTACTTACCTAATGTGTTCAAGTCAAGGCTCATCCAAGTTGTAGTATGTATCAGTACTTCACTCCTTTTTATGGCCAAATATTCCATTTTCTGGATATATCACATATTGTTTACCCGTTAATTCATGGATGAACACTTGTGTTGTTTCTACCTTTTGGCTACTAAGAATAATGCTGCTACAAACATTCATGTATATGTTTTTATACATATACATGACATATGTTTTCAGTTCTCTTGGATATATACCCAGAGGTGGAATTGCTGGGTTATATAGTGAGCCTGTGTTTAATTGCTAGAGGAACTGACAGACTGTACCTAATTTTGCAAGATGTTACCACTGGAGGAAAGGGTACACAAGATCTCCCTGTACTGTTTCTTACAACTGCATGAGAATCTACTACCTCAGAGTAAAAGTTTAATTCTAAACATGATTCCTAGAATTTGGACTTAACAAAGCAGACACTTACTGGTGACTAGAGTGTGGGGGAAGAATGGCAAAGGAATATGTATGGGCACTAATATCAGGAATACTATTTGAGGCAGAATAAGATCCTTGGTAGATATCTAAGAGGTGATGACTAGTATGAAAATGGAGATTCTGCTTTGGTTCGGTTGATGTAGTTGCTACTCACCGTGCACATAACCGTGAGCTAGGTGTTTTCCAGGATTTGGGAGTGTGATATGATCTTTGCCACTGTGCCATGTACAGTATTGTTGGGAAAGTAAGGCAGAATTCCCATGAAGCAGAGACTACCTGATAGCATAGGCTGCTAAACTGGGGGGGGATAGTCTTTGTAGCCTTTAAGAACTGTGAAATGACAGTTGTAATCTGAAATTTCCTGGAATGCCATGGGACTAGAGAAGATTAGAATGTAAATGTTTTGGGAAAAGAGAGGAGCAGTAGATGGAGAAGAGGAGAGGAGCAAGAGAAAGTGGTGTCCTATTCACTGAAGGAGGGGGGTGGTCCAAGCAGCAAGAAGCAATGTACTGTGTCAGATGGCACTGTTAGCTCAAGGTGACGACTGAGTATTATTGCATATCGGCTTTGAAAATATGCAGGTTATTGATGGCTTTGATAAGAACCGTTTCAGTGGGTCGTAGATGAAAGGCTGTTTGGAGTGAGCTTAAAAGATGGGAGGAAAGAAGTGAAACAACATAAATAGATCTGAGGAATTTTACAAGGAAAGGAAGCAGTGAAATGTAGCGAGAGATATGGGGTCTAGGGAGAGTTTTTTAAAAGATGTGTGTATGTATGCTGATAGACATGTTACAATACTTAAATAACTGTAATGGAAAGATAGAGTATTAAATAGACGGGGGATATGGAAGCAGCATGGGTTCCAGTCACACTGGCCTCAAACAGAGATTGATTCTCAAGGAGGCAGAAAAAATGGAGAAGTTTGGTAGACTGGATGCTTTTTGTATTGGGACTGCTGACTTTTACAACAGATATGGAAGAGAGTAGTGCAGGTGGTTCAGGAACAATCTGAACACTGTAGACACACACAACCAGGAAAATGTAAGGAATATCTGAGAAAGACAACTTGGGAAGTTAGCCGAAGATTGAAGACTGTCAGGGAAGATACACCGGAAAGAAAGACCAGCACCAAATATGTGAGGAATTTGAAATTTATCTCAGGTCATGAGGAGCCTTGAAGTACTTTTGAGTACGAGAGTGAATAATTCAGTCTGTGTGTCAGGAAGGTAATTCTGATAGCTGCCTGGACAGTGGAAATGCAGCCAGGCTGTGGAAGTTCTTCAAAACCAGACTGGAAAACTTGGATTTGATCAGATAAGCAATGGGAGCCTCTCATTAAATTCTTAAAAAGAAAAAGACATAAAGACAGTGGTGTTTTGTCCTTTAAAATTAAACTGAAGTGATTTACAAGATGGTTTAAAGTGGTGACAGATTGGAAACTCTGCTGATTTGCCTGGCTTTTCCTCTGGAATTTTCCTTGCTGGTTTGTGAAAATATCTTGTTTCTTTTTATAAGAGAGATTTAGCTCCAAATGTGGAAAATCTGACTTTTTGCTTTAGCCTCTTCCTAGTGTTTTAGTTTAAAAGAGAGATAACATTGGAAAGACAGGCAAGAGCTCACCTGGTAGTATCTAGGTGGTATCAGGTGAAGGCTTTGATTCTCATACATTCACCGAGTATTACTGAATGTTTTCCATTCACTGATCACCATCTCAGGCTCTGGGGAATCAAAGAAAGGAAATTAATCCCAGCCCACAAGTAGTTTACAGTTTAATGGGGGTAGCAAGTATGTAAGACGTAAAATAATTCATAGCCCAATGTGAGAAAGTCTGTGCACAGAATGCTCCTTAGAGTCTAGGGGAGAAAGTGACTTGCTCCCAGAGAAAGTTGGAGCTTCATAGGGAAGGCAACATTTGACTACCTCTACCTGAACAGGTGTTCAGCTGCCTAAGAAAAGAGGAAAGAAGGTTTCAGGCAGAGAGAAGAGCAGGCATAGAGAGGCTTAGCCCTGAGAAAGGCACAGTGACATTGGAGACTCTGAGAAGGCCTTTGTGCCTGCAGGGTAGCATGTGTGATGTCAAATGGCAAGACTTGAGGGGTCTATTGTCAAGGGTGCTGATAAGTTTGAATTCTATCCTGTAGACCAGTTTTCATAGTGATTCTTTTAATATCTCCTTTTGATACACGCATCTGTCTTTTTAGTTCAGGCTCTGATCATTTGTCACATAGACATCTGCAGTAGTCTTCCAAAGGGGTCTCCCTATCCCAGATTCTGCATCTGTCTACCTGTCCTGCACCCTGCTGCCTGGGTGATCTAAATGCACATCTAACACTTTTATGAGTTGAATTGTGCCCCACTCCCGGAATTCATACGTTGAAATCCCTAACCCCCAGCACCTTAGAATGTAACTGTATTTGGAGATAGGGTCTTTTAAGAGGCAATTAAGTTAAAATGAGGTCATTAAGTGGCCTCTAATCTGATATGATTGGTGTCCTAGTAAGAGGGGATTAGGACACAAACATATACAGAGGAAAGACCATATGGAGACACAAGGAGAAAATAGCCATGTACCAATCAAGGAGAGAGACCTTAGAAGAAACAACCCTGTAAACACCTTGATCTTGGACTTCTAGCCCCCAGAATTGTAAGAAAATAAACTACTTCACTTGTTCCCCAGCAGCTCCTTCAGTCTAAAGTGCCCTTCTGCCCCCTCCCACTCTACTGATCACCTCTTCACTTTTTAAGACCCACATGAAGCATCATCTCCCCTGTTCTGTGTTTCCCATTAGCAGAGCACATCTGAACTAATCACTCCCTCCTGCCTCTCTCTGCTGGCAACAAACTTATCTCAGGGCCTTAAGGTTTGAGCCCATTTTTTAAACCATGTTTCCTCCTACTAGACTAAACATATTGAGTAGAAGGACTATGAATATCTGTTATAGACCCAATTCCTATCTTAATTCCTGGCATATAACAAGTACTCAAGAAATGCTGTAGAAATGGGTAATTGTGCGTAGAGCCTGGATGTCCAGACCTACATGTTCTTGAAAGAAAGTCATCCGTATTTTGTAATTGTCTACTGCAGTGGATATGTTTTTAGACACTCATGGCTGATTAGTTGTCTTAGATATTTCTAAATAACATTCTTTTTAATCCAGTTGCCTTTTTTATATACCACATGGAGATGCCTGTTGCATTTTAATATGTCTGCCTTCTTTAGTTACACAGTATTTCCAGTTCATTCAGTGCACATTTATTTATTCGGTCCTATTCTGTGCCAGACACAATGCTAGATTCTGAAGTTAAGAAAACAACTAAAATGCTCTTACTACATAAAAGAACTCTCGGGTAGGCAGGAGGGATAGATCCTCAGCCCGATTATGCTGCAGTGTAGTAAGTGCCATGATAGAGATGTGCAGGAGGTATTAGTGGAGTGCTTTAATTATGTGGAAAGCGCAGACTTTTTACATCTAGGTGTTTGCTAAGTTTCTCCTCCCAAAATAATTATTGCTTCTTGGAGTGTATATCTTTAGAAGGTGACTTTTTCCTGACCCTGTGCTCTTGCTCTGGAGGGACCTTATTGGACGCCATCTCACGCCTGTGTGAGAATTTCCAGAAGCCTCAGTCCTGCTGTCATCCTCATGAAAGAATCATGGGAGAGAAGGCGCCTTCAGAAGACTTAAATTCCCTTCCTTCTTCACTTCTCACCTCATATAAAGCTCACTCTGCTCTGTCCTGGGGCCTTGTAATAAGCGAAGTGAAGGGTGTGGGACGAGGGATTCATCACTGCCCTCCCCAACGCTAGGGCCTGGAATGGGGCTACCCCATTCTTTGGGAGAAAAGAGGAGTTCCCAGGAGTTGGGAGTATCTGAGAGGAACCTGAAAGAATTGTGATGATTCTAGGAGTTGACAAGCGGATATAAACAACGAGCCACTTCAAAACATAAAACACCTATGTATCTGTTTAAATACTTCTGATTCTCTGTGTCTTTTATATAATATTCTGTGTCTGTGTTATCTGTCTTTAAAAATTCCTGCAGTCCAGGTAAACACTCACTGCCTGATTACCAGACCCATGTGGTTAGTTAACATACTGATAGAAATACAGTGATACTGAAATGCAGTACAGACTTCTAACAATGACAGTTACCTTCTGAACACATTCTCTTGTGTTACAACAGCCAGCTTCAGTTATCTGGCTAAAAATCGTATATAGCACTTGTTTGAAAATTGTGATGTGAAAAATACGGACTTTTTAAGAAAGGTGTTTAAAAATATTTTTTCCATGTTACTGTAAGTTATATATCACAAGCCAATGCTAGGATCTACTGGATATGAGGGAATTAAGCTAGTATTACATGCAAATCAAGTTTCTTCAGAAAATGTAAATATTGAGATGATGGAGGGAGCCAGGCAGAATTTCATCCTGGAATCCAAACAGAAAAACAGGATTTTCCAGGGACTCCAGAGGCCCAAGGCAGAAGAGTTGACTAGGAAGGGTAACCGTGTTCATACTTGTGGCTTACCCTTTGTTATGTTGTATTTACTTGTCGGTTGACACCTCTGTCTCTCCCACTAAACTGACTTCTACAAGGTCAGGAGTGGGGTGTATTTATTTCTATACCCATGTACCTTTTGGAGGAAATAAAGACAAGGGAAAGAAGGCCTATAGGTAGCCCCAAAGAACAACAACAACTGGGATTCACAGAAAGGCATGTGAGAACTTTAACATCAAACTAACAGGATGATAGGAAGCTGTGGATATGGTTGGACAAGCCTTCCCTGATTTTGCTGTCTAGCACAGCTTCCCTCCCAGTGCTGTCACCATCTGTAATGATCTTGTTCATGTGATTTCCGGTCTGCATACTTTTCACCTTAAGGTAATTCTGTGAAGGCAGGAACCTAGCCTGTAGTCTTGTTCATTACCGCCCAATAACTGTTTGTTGCATAATAACTATTTGCTTTGAATGAATTAATATATGTGATTTAGGGCAAAAGAATATGTTTGTGTCCTGAAAATTTCTACACGATAGACAAAACTTTCATGTCACAGGGTCCAGTGGGCACGGGGGAAGTAGGACTGTTGAGAGGAAAGAACCCGATTCCTGGTATTTGATCCCTGAAAGGGCGATCTGCCCCTTCCTCCTGCTAAGTGGCAGTGGAAAATTAACTCCGTGCCAGGGAAGGGCGGGAGCTGGCTTCGTGGTGTTCTTATCTTCGAAGGCTTCTCTGAGTCCTGAAGATAGGAGAGGAGGGCGTCAAGCACCATTTATTTAACAAAAGTATTCTGTGCCTGCCATGTGACAAAAACTGAGCGGGGCCACAAGATACAAAGGTGCCTGAGAGAAGGGTTGCGAAGCAGCAGCAGGTGAAAAGCAGAGGCCCGGCCTGAGGTAGCTGGCGGAGACCTGCGTACGAGCTGCTCTTTCTCATCCTTCATCTCTCTTGGATTTTTAAAATAATTTCTTTTAAAAATTTAAAAAAAAAAAAAAATCCTCTTTTTTTACTTTGTCTTTTAAGGCATTGTTGGCTTATTTCCTGTTCTGTTCCGTTGGTTTCGCCTTTGTTTTGCACTGATTGTTTCCTTTGAGCGTGTCCAATTCCTCTGAGTCCTGTCACCTCCACGCTGAGCTTTTCTCACTGATTTATGGTGTCCTTTCGCGCCTTCGTGTCTTTGAGGCTTGTTTTGGATGGCACGTTACAGTTTGGGGCTGTTCTGTGGGCACATCTTCCTGGCCTGCTTTCCTTGTCTGTAGGGATGTTAGTTTGCTCCCTTTTTTTAAATTATAATTTTGTATGGGATTTTCCTCGACACTAATCCTTTCTATGGGAATTAGTGTTTCTTCTGAGCTTTGACAGGGAGGGGTGGAGAAAGACTTTTCTGGCCTCGGCATGCTCCCTCTTCTGTTGTTTCTGTGTAGCTGTCAAGACCTGGGTGGCTTGCGCTCTGGGATTTCCCGGCCGTTTCCAGCCCGCTGGGCCTTTACTTGGTCCCAGCTGTACAGGTGATGCTGAGATTATACTGTCCTGGCAGCTTCTCCTCCTCAGTGTGGGGTCGTGTCCTAGGTGGGAGCACCCGGGAGTCACAGTTTTGGGGTTACAGGGGGACTCTGCTGCTCCAGCCCCTGCAGCCGTGCAGCCCCCACCCCAGCTGAGCGCTACCAGCTGCTGAGCCCGGAGCACCGCGCGACCTTGGCGGCTGAGCTCCCCTGCCCTTGACTGTGCTGGGCCTGCACTTTACAGTTGCTGCCCGCTGGCTCCCTTCTTCCTCCCACAAAGACTCTGAGAATCTATGACTATGGGGGGCTTGGCTCCACCCACTTGTGTTTTGGGGTGCCCTACCTTTGTTGTAAATATTGCCCAGGCGATTTAGCTTCCCCATATAGTTGCTGTGCTATATAGTTCCCCATATAGTTCCCCATGTAGTTGTTATTTGCTTGTTTTTGCTTTTTGTTTTGTAGGAATTCAGATTTAAAACCTGGGCTTCCTCATCACCGGAATCCCTGTCAACTGAATTGAAAGCTGGGAAGAACCTTGCACTGAGAAAATAGGATCTTCCACACAGGCTTTTTGAATTAGAGAGCAGTCCCAAATATTTATTAAATGTACTGCCCCTCTTCATCCCTTTCAACACTCCCTGTACACGTAGCAGCTTATTTCTCTCCTAACCAGTTCTGCTCTGCTCAGCTTTGCCCGAGCTCTCCATGATTGGTTTAAG